TGATAATCATGAGAGGATAAAACAGACTGCACATAATCCCTGCTGCATCTCTGAGAATATCCTTTACTAGTCGACCATTACTGTTCAGTAATCTGAAGGACAAGATTCCGCTGTTAACCAACTCTGTGTGTGTTTATCAATTCGCCTGCTCGTGTGGAGCTGGGTACATCGGTCATTCGACTCGAGTTTTGTCAAAGAGGGTGGGAGAACACTGTTCTGCATGGTTACGAAGAGGTGGAAGTGGAGCAATAAGAAGCGCGATCATTGAACATCTGGTCGATAATGATTACCCTATCTCTATAGCCTCCGCCTTGAAAGTCATCTACAAGGCAAAAAGTAATTTGCCGAAATTACCACGTAACCGACTCATCTGTACTGCTGAAGCTTTGGCTGTCGAAACAGAAAAGCCAGATCTCTGTGTACAGAAAAATTTCGTTCAACCCCTCCAACTTTCATGGTCTTAATCCCTCTATGCTAAAGTATGGTAATCCCCACCGCCTCATCCGAACTGATAGATGCTAGAAGACTTATTCCGGCGAGCTCCGAATTCAATGAGGAGCGAAAGCTGCACAAGAGGAAACTTACGAAAGTCTCCGCAAGGACCGTGAACAGTGGTGGGCGACAAAAGCCAAAGAGATGGAGAAAGCTTCGAGGATAGGCAACACCAGGCAACTCTTTAGACTCATCAGGGAAACGGGTGGGAGAAGACAAATCATCAGTGAGACAATCTCGGAAAAAAATGGCACTATAATTAGCTCCCAGGATAGACGACTGGATCGTTGGAAAGAGCATTATGAGGAGCAGTTTAATTTGCCCACAGCCACGCTAAACCTTCCGACATCCAACACCTCCCTGAATGGATATAGACACAGGTCCTCCATCCCTAACTGAGGTTACTAAAGCTGTCACCAATCTGAAACTAGGCAAAGCAGCGGGACCTGATGGAATGACTCCAGAGGTATTTAAGTACGGTGGAGACAGCTTACTGTCTGCATTAACTGAGGTACTAGGCAGCGTCTGGGAATCAGAAGAAGTCCCATCGGGTTGGTGTAAGTCACTGATTATCCCCATATACAAGAAGGGAGACAAGTCTTCCTGTGATAATCACAGAGGGATTAGCTTGACTAATATAGTATCTAAAGTCTTAGGCTCAATAATCATGCGTAGACTGAGTGGTGCTCGGGAGGCACAAACACGAGAGAGCCAGGCAGGCTTTAGACCAGGAAGAGGGTGTATTGATCATATCTTCACCCTCCGACAGATTCTAGAACATAGGCATTCCTACCGGCGTCCAACAGTCATTATATTTCTTGACCTAAAGGCAGCATTCGACTCTGTCGATCGGGAAGTTCTCTGGAGATGCTTGGCTGTAAAGGGAATTCCAAGAAAATATATTGCACTGATTAAGGCACTCTACTCGTACTCATACAGCCAGGTGAGGGCTTACGGCGAGCTGTCATCTGAACTGATGACGACCAGTGGTGTCCCTAGCAGTGGAATCCAGGATGCGCATTTCGTCCTATTTGGGACTCGTCAGTTGGATGTACCTGCATTTCTCAGTGAGTGATGATGTTCCCACCAAATAGGACGAAATGCGCATCCTGGATTCCACTGCTAGCCACCATCCACCAATTGTATACAACTCTTTCAGTAGTTCAGATACTTCCCAAAATCCAATACGCAATACGGCAGCCTTAGTATTGTCTCCTAAATCTAAACCGTGACATATTCCCGCAGCTATCGCCACGACGTCCTTCAACGCTCCACACAATTCCACGCCAACATCATCTTGAGTTATAACAAGCTTGAGGTAATCGGACTGTATTGATAGGCAAAATATTGACATAAAGAAAGTACCATTTGTTAGGCCTTTTGAAAATATGGAGTTTATTTTTTGATGTACCGGGAATTTTGTGACATTTTATTTATCTTTTTGTTTTATTTTGATTACAGCTTGACGCCACACTGTATTTTCGGTACAAGTATGGAGTTTTCAACATGCGATATCGGTAGCCGAAATTTTGCAGGCCGACCACTGATATCAGGTGTGCGTCGGCAGGGGATCGAACCTTGGACCATGCACATGGTCGGCAACAGTCCTAACCACTGTGCCACTGACGCACACATATTCTTGAGCAGACATAATGAAATACAAATACATTACATTCCGTCATTTGATATTTATTCAGCATCAGCGCTAATAAAATCAACTTCAGAATTGTATTCTTCAAAATGCTACTCTCGAACTATTTTTTGAGGCATGTAGTTGGATCTTCGTCACACTTCTAGACTGGCCTTTACTTCACTTGTAAACGCATGCCTAGTCAGAGGTGTATTTTCGAAAATCAACACACCGCTCACCAAACCATCTACCTTTTTTGCCATACTGCTGAACAGACTTAAACTGAATGAATTCCAGTGTTTTCATGTGGTTGTGTTCTCTGAGCTGGATAGTTAATTTGGGAAGCTTCCATCGCCCTACTAGGAAACATTTTCAGACGTCCATGGACGTCTTCCAAAAGAATGGATATCAACGGAACTTCATCAAAAGACATATACCTACAAGCCAACCTACGAAATCAAAGACCCCCAAGGAAAGCACCCAGAAAATCGCCCTACCATGTATAAAACACATCTCAGAAATCACTACAAGACCTTTCAAACCTTTAGGAATTGACGTCACACACAAACCAACAAAGTCACTTCACTCAATTCTATGACAACCAAAAGGCTCAACAGCGAAAGAAGATAAAACCAACACCATCTACAAAGTAAACTGTAACAACTGCGAAAAACACTACATTCGCCAAAGTGGACGTCCCCTTCGTCTTCGTATCTGTGAACACAAGATAGCCGTCAGAAGACATCACATACACTCCCTCGTATCACTACATACAAGCAACCATGGACATCAATTCGACTGGGACAACGTTCAAATATTAGACAGAGGAAACACCAAAAATGCTAGAGAATTTTTAGAAGGCTTCCTGGTATTCCAGTGAATTATCAATCAATAGACACATCGAGATAGACAAAAATTACCAACCAATAAGAAGGAAACCTCACACACAAAGGGTCAAAGACCAAGTCAAGAAAACAATCAGTTCCAATCAGTTACAAGCAGCCTAGAGAGTGTGAAAACAAACAAAAACAACCTACCACATGCAAGGTCACCAGGAAAGATGACTGATAAACTCGTGGAGAAATCTAAAAGCTCACTTCAAATTGAAGTAGGCATTGAAGATGTTGCCTAGTGGGGCGATGAAACCTTCTCAGATTAACTGTCCAGCTCAGCTGAACTACAATTCTTCATCCTGTATGAATTCCAGTATCTCAAGATTCCAATTTTAACTAGTCTTCAAATAGTATACGAATTACTCACCTTGTAAAAATGGAAGATTAGGCATATTCAGAATAAAAAATCAGCAAACTACACAAGTCCAATGTTTGGTTCACTTTTGTGTGAAGTGGAAGTGAATGGTACAAGCTCAGTACATAACCTCGTTAAACAGTCATATGATGATCCACATAACAAGCGATTCACAGTAGAGCGAAGTGTAAACAAGAAAAAAGACAAGGCTGTTCAGTGTCCCTGCTGATGTTCCTGTTTTTTTGTTGTTGTGTCCTCCAACGGACTTTGGGGAGGACGAAAATGCATTGGGCCGAAACAAGACTTTAGAAGCTTCGAATTAAGTGTGTGACCTATGCTTCATGTCGCACAGACTCGAAGATCTTCGGGTGAAAACTGACAAATCATCAGCAAAGGCAGAAAACACAGAGCTTCGTGTGAACATGTAGAATCTCTACAACATAGAACGCTACGGTCATTCAGAGGAAGTGAGTGAGTATGGAATTCAGAAGAGTGAGTAGAATTTATGTCTTTATTATTTGCAGGGTCATCTTTCCCCATTGAACGATGTTGAATGATTAATGAATGCTCTCCTGTGTGATTGACTAAGTTTCTCCGCTTCACTTTTTTCAGCAGTGTGTTTTCGAAATAAAGCTTGAAGCTGCACAACTGCCTCAGATGGTAATTTGGACAACTACTTCGATAGAAGGGTCGGTTACTAAAGACATAGAGAAGAAAAGATACCCAATCAAAAACAACAAGCATCAATCAGTGTCAATGGGAAGAATTCAAAATAAGTCGTCCCCTACACTTCCCTGATCTGGGAGCGTCGTTTCAACTACAGGAGGTATGGATGAACATGTCAAATTCCACAAAGATAGGATAGACACCATAGATATCTGGTGTGCGTCAGTAGGGGAACGAACCTCGGACCATGTGCATGGTCGGCAAGAGTCCTAACACTAATCCTAAATCAGTGCTTCTATATGATTCAGAGACTTGGTGCGCCAGTCACAAAAAGCCTTTCCAACATCCGGGTGCACATTTTTATCACCAGCTGCCCACAACAGGTACTGAAGATCAAATGACTAGCAGGAAAGCATAAGCGACAAGAAGCTCTGACAGCTCAGTGAACCAACCTATTACTGAGCAAATATGTAGTATGGAACGAGACGGACATTCAAGTGGTATCACACCCCAGGCTGTTGAATGGAATCCGAATGAGAACTGACCAGTTGAGTGTCCTACAGTGATATGGAGGAGATCGTGTGAAGAAGAAATGAAGGCTTGTAGGGAGTCGACGGCCCGGTTAAAAATGACGGAAAACAATATAGTACAGTGGTGATGTGCTTCTGAAGCCCTATCTTCCACTTGGAACGTAAAGAACAAATAATAATATTGTAACCCATATCTTAACATCCTACTGAAAATTCACGGCTACTGGTTTACATTGAATAATTATTTGTAAATTTGGGTATACCAAATCGAAGTCTGGGGGGATCAAAGTGAAAATAACATTTTTAGCTTATATGTTTCCTTAAAAAATTTACCATGAGAGTCGCTGATCTTTTTATACCACTGTGTTGTGTAGGAAACTTGGCACTGTATTTCCACTCATATCTTTTAAGATAGAAAATATAGTGAAGATTACCTGTAGAAGCCTTTTTACTTCATGTGCATATGTGAGATTCTTGGAGCCGATAGTTGCCTCGGTGAAATGTTGTTTGGCCACTTCGACAGCTGTTGTAGCCCCGATAACGACCACGCAGCTTTTACCAGTTTGCTCTCGAATAACATCGCTTACCAGTTTAATTCTGTTTTCCTCGGGACACAGAATGAGACCCTACGTTTAAGAGAAAGTGGGAGCATTTTGCAAAGCATCATTTCTATGTAACCGTGAGAATACAAAGTATGCAAATAACTTTACGACTTCTACGAACAGACACACAAAGAAACATAACTGAACGGATATAAAAACAAAAAGGTATATTACATGCATTCAGAAGCTCACAGACTCTAATATTTTCGTTCGATCTCAACATCGTCAGATCAAAAATGAGAATACATTCATTGTCTAAGATGGAGGTCTTTGGTCTAATTTGAGAAGTGACATAAGTTTTGACAGTAGAACATAGAATACGGTTTCAGTACTGTATATTTTCTTATGGTTTTCTACTAACACCAGCTCCCAATAAAACGTTAATAGAAATAGCAAGCAGCAATTATGACACCGCGACGAGACAGACAGTGTTTCAGAAATTGCCCAAGTTCGATAATTAGATAAGTAGACTGGTACAGCAGCACATTCATGAAACGTGATGTGACTTATCTTCAAAATATGGCAGTCACCAATACGATGGCATCAGAGTTATTCAATTCAATTAGTGTCTTTATACGTGCATTCCAGATTATTACACGATATGTAGTCTTAGAAACACCTGACATAAGGGAATGAAAAGTCATAATGACTATGAAATCACTTTTTAAAAAGTAATGCCTTTCAAAATTGTTCTTAAATAAGGAATCAGTTAAAATTCCTTAACACAAGAATAATTGAACTTCGCATGCCGTTACAGCAAAGCAACACTTAAAAAGGTCACTCAATCATCCAACTCCACGCATTAAATTGAAGAAAGTAAACAAATCTAACAATCTATGGTTGCTAAAACTATTCGGCCTGTACCAAATACTTTAGTGAGCAGCATAAGAGAAGCATATCCAAAAATGGAAGTAGCTGGGAATTCGGCTAGAACTATTTTGAGATAATGCTATGAAAGGCTATGAATCTCAGGGTCTATCAATATATACTGCCAGACTCTGGAAGATATCTCAATATTTGTCACCTACAAGGTGATTAAGGCCATTATAAAATATGTTTTGAAGAATCCCAAACGAAATCAAGTGAGTATTGTTCAAGGACCTTTATAAAGAAACAATGATACTTTGGTAGTCTTCGAAGTCGTTGTCGTGGCATTGCTGTAAAAATAATACATTTGTTTAAAGTGACATCTTATCGGTGTATTGTTGTTATTGTGTAAATTCACATCATGCAAGCATACGGAAAAGAAATTATGGATCAGTCAGCTACTAAAGTTGTGGAGGCCAAAAAATATCAAATTCTACGTTCGTTGTAAAATAGTAAAAACAATGAATTCACTGCACATCATAGGTGTTAATTGAAATATTGAATAAGCACACCATCTTGTTCACCACGCTTTTTTCACGTATTTCACGTTTTTGACAAATCGCTGTTTTGTTGTGTTATTCACTTCAAGAACATTTAAAAAAAACTTTAACTTGACTTTTGTCTGTTAAGTTTTGATTTTAACCACTTATATAGTCTATATTGCGTAAATTGTCTTGGCTGTTTCCAGTAGAAGTTCATTATGTCAAAAGTACCACATAAATGTAATAGGGCGGAGTGTTACTTTTTGGTAGATGATGGAATACAGTGTAATAACTGTGAAAAGTGGTATCATAAGATGTGTACTGGATTACGTCCAGCTGCATACAAACGTTGTACTGCTCCAACATCCCACTGGATGTGCAGAATGTGTTGCTCCCCAAAGATGACCTTAATAAGGGAGGCTCACGAACTGCTGTCTAAAGCCATGGAACTTCCTGATGATAGCGTGGCTAGTAAGAGTGACACGGACTGCCCGTCTGAAGATGAAGCAGTAAGTGCCATCATGAATGTTATCACACCGGCGGTTACTATCCCAGTTACCCCGGAAGTAAAACCTACTAGGCGTTCGAAGCGTCTTAGTAAGCGAAAAGGTAACAAAACGGAAGCTGTAAACAGCATCTCAGAACCAGAGAACACCGTAAGCGAAGTTCACCATGAAGGTGGTGCAGACACTGATCTTGATTGTACCATCAAAAACTGCAGCAGCCCTGAGAAGCAACTGCAGGCAGATGATAAATGGGTAACAAAAATAAGCAGTCGGAAGAAATATAGTAATATTGATGGTAGGCAAACGTCTGTCACCTGTAGCCAGGCTGCATCAATAGTGGTGAGAAAGGACGTAGCCACTGCTAAATACGACAAGCTCTCCTTAGACTCTAACATAATTGTTGGAAATTTGGAAGAGTCCAAAGAATCTGATCCCGTGAAAAGGCACGATCACGACCTTAAATTAGTGAGTAGTATTATAAGGAAGATGCTCCCAGCGAATTTCCCTGGAGTATCGATTAAAAAGCTGATTAGAATAGGCAAAAGAGATGATGAATGTTCTAGTCAGCGTAGGTTGCTTAAAGTAGTCTTAGGTTCTCCTGATGAACGGAATCATCTACTGGCTAATGTACACAACCTTGCCGGGTCAGGAATTTCAGCCAGACCTGATTTATCTCTTGAAGACAGACTTAAACGAAAAGAAGTTTTGTCCCAGCTAGAAACAAGACGTAAAAATGGTGAGACTAACCTTAAACTGGTGGGTTTTCAAATAGTCAGGTCTTGGAAACGTATGCTTCCAAGACCTGTGTGGATAAGCCAGACCGCATAGGAAGCCTGAAGGTAGTGTACACTAATATACGTAGTATCGGGAACAAATTTCACGAGCTAGGTGTATTAGTAGAAGACCTTAGCCCAGGTATTGTGGCCATTACTGAAACATGGCTGGTTTCGGGATTAGATGACACACCTGAGCTATGCGGATTTAGTTGCTTGCGCAGCGACAGAGTTAAGGGTCGTAGAGGTGGCGGGGTTGCTCTGTACATCAACAACTCCCTACATGTTCGTTCCGTGAAATCTGAAGCTCATGACAGTGGGACAGGTGAGGTAATTAGCTGTGAAGTAAGCTTTGCAACCGGCACTCTACTCATTGGAGTTCTGTATAGAAGTCCCTATTGTCAGTGTGATGACTTCATTTTAGATCACCTCAAACAATGGAGTAAACACAGTAGCTGTCTTATTCTAGGTGATTTTAATGCACCTCATATAGACTGGGTAGCTGTCACATCTCCAGGATCCGCTGATAAGTTTGACAGCCGGTTACTCTTGACAACCATGGAAAATGCCCTGACACAACATGTCTTAGGTAGTACAAGATTCGGTTCTACCCAAGGATCTTCCTTGCTGGACTTAGTGCTTACTCATGACAACGACGACGTGGATGGTCTAGTTATTCATCCACCTCTAGCAAACAGTGATCATGGGGTGTTAGATTTTAACTTAAGGGCTGGCAATTTAGTCAGTTTTCAACCCAAATCCCGGCCTAGTGTTTGGCATGCTGACATAGTGGCTATAAAGGAGCGTGCTTCAACTGCCGACTGGTCAGTCAACATTGTCTCATCCATTGAAGATGAATGGGATAGATTTAAGAATACACTTGAGAGGGTTACCACTGATCTCATCCCCTGGAGGGTTCCTAAAAGGCCAACAAATCGGCCACCATGGATAAATAGACAAGCTATAACACTCCTGAGACGGAGAAAAAGGTTCTGGAATCTCTTTGTTTCTACTGGGCTACAGCAGTTCCGGCTGAAATACTGTGAAACCAGAAACCAGTGTAAAACTTTGATCCACCAGTCAAGGATAGCTTACGAAACCCAGTTAGTTAAAAGTTCACCAGGCTGCCCAAAAAGACTCTTCTCATATATCAAGAGAAGAACACGTAAGAGTGATGCTATCCCACCTCTTATGCTTGAAGATGACCAGACAAACATGGCTGAGGATAACTTGACTAAGGCTGAGGCTTTGTCCAAGCACTTTAGTCAAGTATTCTCTGATAATATTGATACCAGCTTTGTAAATTTTCCAAAAGGTAACTTGAAAATGGCACCCTTATACATTGGAAAGGATACTGTCCTAAAGTGGCTTCTAAGGCTCAATCCTGGTAAGTCCAGTGGCCCTGATGAACTCCACCCACGTATATTAACAGCATTGGCTGAAAGCATAGCCGAGCCATTGTCGGTAATCTTCAATATGTCTCTGGACCAGTCTAAATGTCCAAGAGACTGGAAAGATGCCATCATTAGTCCGGTCTTCAAAACCGGATCTAGAAACTTAGTTCAGAACTATCGTCCTGTTAGTTTGACCAGTATTGTTGTTAAACTACTAGAAAGAATAATTCGTGATGCTATCATTCAGTTCATTGAAGGGAACAAACTTTTCGCTGTGGAACAGCACGGTTTTAGAGCAGGTCATTCTTGCTTGACCAACCTTCTTTTGGCCAGAGAAAGTTGGGCAAGCTCAGCTGATGCTAATATACCGGTGGATGCCATATTCATAGACCTTAGCAAGGCGTTTGACAGGGTTTCTCATTCAGGTCTTCTAGTAAAGTTAGGTAGTCTGGGAATCAATAAAGTGGTTACCGACTGGATTCAAGACTTTCTAAAGGACAGAAGACAAAGAGTACGAGTTAACGGGGTTTTATCAACATGGGAATCGGTTAAGAGTGGCGTTCCTCAGGGTACAATTCTAGGCCCACTTCTTTTCCTGATTTATGTTAATGAGATTCCATCGGTAGTTAAGTCATCCTGCTTACTGTTTGCTGATGACATCAAGATATGGAGGGCTTTGCACGATGACAGTGATCAACTTGCTTTGCAGGAAGATTTAAACTTGTTAAGTGATTGGTGTAAGCACTGGGCCTTGGAGATTAACTTAAGCAAGAGTGTAGTTATGCATGTATCCCATAGTCACGTGCACAATTACTCAATGAATGGCATTACTCTCCCAGTGGTCACTGAGTACAAGGACTTGGGAGTGGTTGTGCAGCATGACTTGAAAACAGCAACAAACTGTAGAACTGCAGCCACTAAGGGTTTTCGAATGTTATGGGCCATACGCAAGGCTTTTGCGAACTTTGACGCTGATATATTTCGTATATTATATCCGACTTATATCAGACCTCATTTGGAATATGGGATCCAGGCAGCGAGCCCGTGTTTCAAATACGAAATAGACTTATTAGAAAGGGTGCAAAGAGTAGGAACTAAGCTAATAAAGGGTTTCTCAACCCTGTCATATGAGGAGAGGTTAAGTCGACTGGGTTTATTTCCACTGTCATACAGACGACTTAGGGGTGACCTAATACTAGCATACCGTATCCTAAGAAATGATTTTGGAGCTAATTTATCTAAATTATTTCTTCCTTCTAGCACCAACCAATTGCGAGGACATCACCTCAAGGTTCAAAAACCACGGTCGAATCGTCTGCGTCTGGAAATCCGTTTTTCGCATCGAATTGTGAACCATTGGAACTCCCTACCGGAACACGTCGTATCAGCGCCATCCGTTGATTCATTCAAGGCGAGATTGGACCTCCTGTATGCAATAAATCGAAAGGATTAACACAGGCATATAGCCTACTATCCGAAATAAATTGTAAACTGTAAACTGTATTATATATATATATATAAATTGTGTGGACTGAATTCCTCTCTACATGTATATTTATATTTTTATTTACATAGACATATATATATATAATCAAAGGTTTCTAATTCTTTTGTTACTTTCCTATGCGTATAAACGACCTTGACCGTTTGGTCCGCAACAAAATACATAGAACTCCTTATATGAGATGTCACATAGACTACATATCTTCTCTACTAATCTAGAGGAAGTACATCAATTTATAAAGAATTCTTTACTGATTAAGCTCATGTTTTGTACCTTATCTTGCAAACATTTGTATTTTTCAAACTTACCTTACAAAAGGAGACAAAATGTGCACCGTCTTTGATAAATTTCTTCACATTTTCTACCAACCATAGAATGTAGCATGATGGATAAGACACTAATATAATGTCAGCTTCTTCGACCACTTTCTGAATATTAGAGGAGGCGGAAACATTCGAAGGAATATCAAGTGTTGGCAAGTACTTGGGATTTATATGTTCTTGATTAATCCAAGTGGTTAGGCTACGACCGTTGTAATCTTCATCTCTTACGTACCAATAAACCTACAAAATAATTACTACGTAACTAGAAACCAAAACGTTTACTTCTTCATGAAATTCTTTTGAAGACATAACGTTGTCAGCAACAAGTTTAACGGTGGCAGTACCCCAGGCGCCACAACCAAGAACGACAACACGTTTCACCATTAGTATAGTAGAACAACACAAACAGTATCAGAAATCAAGCACACGGGGTGAGGTGAGAAGCAGAACGCGACAGGGAAGTTAAAAAGATGTATATATTTACAACAAAGAGCTAGGCCTTCAGTATTCAGCAGCCACCAGTTTTTGAATTTGCGCCTCCTCTTGAGTTCGAATTACTACACGACCCCCTCGGTTCCAAAAAGCTGTCCCCAGCGACTTCAGTGGTTCGGTCTCCCCGCCTCGAAATCGTCCCTACAAGAGAAGAAGACACATGGTTATTATGGTTATCGAGATAAGGCGGTGTTCTCCTAGGTGCCTGTCTGCTTGGTCTACACGGTTTCAGACGGTTGAAGTGCACTATCATTTTCTGAGGGTTGTTGTTGTCTTCTTGGATTTCGTAGGTATTGTCAGTTACTCTACGGTACACCAGGTATGGGCCTGCCCATTGTGCTTGAGCTTTGCGTCGACTCCAGTTGTCAGTCGCTGGTTGACGTAGCCACACCTTATCACCTATTTTGAATGGTGTTCCCCACTGCTTTCTATCGTAGTAACGTTTCTGGCGTTCTTGTGCTCTCTGGAGTTCTTCGCGTGCATAGCTATGATACCTGGCGACGTCTCCTCGTAACCTTATTACCATTTCCGATGTAGTTAGCGGATCATCCCACCGGGGCATAACCAATGTATCACTAGGCAGGCGTAACTCGCGGCCAGTCCATAACAGGTGTGGTGTCTTTCCCGTCGACATGTGCGTGCTTCCTCGGTAGGCCAACAAGCATCTTGGTAACATGATGTCCCAGGCTGATTCAGCCTCCCTCTCTAAGAATAGGCGTAGTAATGATTTTAGGGTTCGATTGGTACGCTCTACTAACCCATTGCCTTCGGGGTGGTACGCGGTGGTTCTTGACTTTTTAATTCCAAATAGATGGCACAATTCTCTAACCACGATACTTTCGAAGTTGGTTCCTTGGTCAGAGTGCAATTGCTCTGGTGCGCCCCAACGGGCAATCCAACAGTCAAATATAGCTTTGGCTACGGTAGGGGCATCAATTCGCTGAAGTGGTACAGCTTCACACCATTTCGTAAAATAATCAACCATAACCAAGATATACTTATTTCCACGTGTGGTTTCACGTAAAGGTCCGATGATGTCGACGCCAATTATTTCGTTAGGATATCCAGCCTTCATATTAGTAAGTGGCGCCCGGGGTTTCCTCTGTGGATTCTTTACTTTACCACATGTTGCACACCCTTGGACAAAGTCCCGGACGTCGCGCCGTTGGCGAGGCCACCAGTAGCGTTGGGTAACTGCTTGCAACATTTTATTAATTCCAGCGTGTCCCAAATCATAATGTATAGTCTCCAGAATTGCTGTTACAAACGACTGAGGGACTACGACTCTTCTCAAGTAGTTGGGGCCGGGTTGAACACACAGGATACCATTCGCTAGTACTAACTGATCCCATAAGGCCCACAAACATCTGGTTTCCCAGCTCTTCCCTTTCACATCGGCTTCAACTGGCCTACCAGTCTGATTCGACAGGGCACGATAAAGGAGTGCAGTCTCGTCGTCAGTAGCTTGGATGTGTGCCCACTGTTCTCTGCTTAGACCTGCCAGCGAAATAGCACAAATATCAATACTCTCGCAAGACGGGCAGTCTCCGTGCGGTCTGGAAGAGCGCCTGGATAGCGCGTCGGCATTGGCATGTTGCTTGCCAGGACGGTGTACACATTCGAAGTCATACTCTTGAAGGTACTCCTGCCATCTTGCTGTCTGTCCTTCAGGGTCTTTGAAATTTTGCAACCACTGAAGAGCTTTGTGATCCGTTCGCAAAACAAACGGTTTACCAAGTAGATAGGGTCGGTACTTACGAACGAAGGTAACAGCGGCCAACATCTCTTTACGGGTGATGCAGTAGTTCTTCTCTGCACGGCTCAGCGTGCGGCTGCCATATTCGATAACATGTTCTTTGCCGTCCCCACCGACCTGAGATAACACGGCTCCGATGGATGTGTGACTAGCGTCCGTGTCCAAGATGTATTTACCAGCCGTTGGTGATGTATCTGGGAATGCTAAAATGGGCGCCGAGCATAATGAATCTTTCAACTGTTGGAAAGCACGATCACAATCCTCTGTCCATACGAAGGGAATATTTTTCTTAGTCAAACTCGTTAGGGGGCTAGCGATCTCTGAGTAATTTCTCACGAACCGGCGGTAATAAGAGGCCAACCCTAGAAAACTGTGTAACTCATTCACGGATTTAGGTACGGGCCACTCTTTGACTGCTGCAACTTTTTCAGGATCGCTATGAACGCCCTGTGCACTGACAACATGCCCCAAGAAAGTGACTTCGGTTCGGAATAAACGGCATTTAGTGGGTTGAACTTTGAGTCCCACCTCCTTCAAACGTTCTAAGACAATCCGCAATCGCTCAAGGTGTTCTTCGATGGTGTGACTGAAAACGATAATATCATCTAAATATACGAGGCACACCTGTGGGACTAATCCTTTGAGTACTGTGTGCATCAGTCGTTGAAACGTGGCTGGTGCATTACTTAACCCGAACGGCATGGTCTGGAATTCATATAACCCGGTGGGTATAGTAAAAGCGGTTTTGTGCCGATCACGAGGGTGGACTTCCACTTGCCAATATCCAGAAGCTAAATCAAGGGTGGAAAACCAGACGGCACCTGATAATGCTTCTAACGTCTCATCTATTCTAGGCAATGGGTAAGCATCTCTCCGGGTCACTGCGTTTAATTTTCTGTAATCAACACACAAGCGCAGGGTGCCGTTTTTCTTCTTAACTAACACTATAGGCGAGGCCCACGGTGAGTTCGACGGCGCAATTATTTTTTTTTGTAACATTTCATCAATCATGCTTTCCAGTTGCGGACGAAACTTAGCTGGGACTCGGCGAGGTGTTTGCCGTATTGGAGCACAACTACCGGTCTCAATCGTATGTTGGATAGCTGTGGTTCTCCCCAGGTCAGTCGAGGACCAAGATATGACCTCCGAAAACTCGGACATTAGCCGATGTACCGCCTCTTTGTGCTCTCGCGGGACCTGTGTTAGCATACTTTCCATCAGGGCGGTATCAATTGCATTCACACTCAGCTGTACACAGGTATTATTAATATCTGCTCCAAATATTAATGTAGAGCCTAGAAGGGTGAGCTTTTGGGATTGAATATCAATTGACGCGTTGCAACCGCGTAGAAGGTCATAACCTATTATTAAATCCCACGACAATCCGTTAACTACCAAACACGGATGCCACATACGACCATGTTTACCTTCCCATAAGACTAACAGCTCGCCAGCTACTTTCATACGAGACCCATTTGCCGTTTGGATGTTAAGGTGGGGTGTGGCAGTTTTGGCCATAGCATTACAATATTTGCTGGACAACAATGTGCGAGCTGCACCTGTGTCTACCAACCCAACGAGAGTTCTGTCATAAAACTTAACTAGAACAGTGGGCAGTTGCTTATCTACATATAGCTCATCTGATAATAGCATGACATTAGATAAAAAAGAGGGAGACTCACCAATCTCTTCTGGGAGGCGAGAGTTTATCCAGGCCGCTCTTGGACGTGGTTGGTGTGGAATTTGTCTTGCTTTCGGGGAAGATCGGGACCTCCACTCAAGATGTGGTTTTGTACGATGCTCACGAGGCGTCCTCGATTCTTGATATTGCGATTGAGTATAGGGTCCGTCTGTTGGTCGCCGATTCTTACGAAGCTTAATGAGAGCTTCCTTCTGTTTGGCAACCTGTAGAGCCTCCACGGGCGATGTAGGATTGCTTTCAATGACCCTTTCGCGTACTTCGTCGTGCAGCAGCCCTTCTTCGAATTGGTGGAGAATGCGGGAGCTGATTTCGGTTGCGGAGTCTCCTTCAAAAGCGACTGGGGCTAACTCTTGAAGTCGCCAGAGGAATTCCTCTGTACTTTCGCCGCTCTGCTGGACACATGCGTGAAAAGCGGCCCGCTGCCCAAGAACATGGGTATGCGGCGCAAATGCTCGACGCATCGCTGCAAATAGCTCCTCTACTTCAATCGTCTTTTCTGTGTCAACGCCAGCTAGCTTGAGGCGTTTCAACGCGGGTATTGACAGTAAACAGATAACAGCACTAGCTCTTTGTTTTTCCTCAAATTGTTGTATATATCGACGGCATTGCTCCTCCCACAATGTGAATGATTCCCCTGGGACGAACTTTTCTGGTGCTGGGAATTTAACTTGGGGTGTATTGTTGGAGGGCGATGAAAGTGTATTCGACGTCATCAATGCTATTCTAAACGCTGCGACCATTGCTTGAATCATATCTGGCGCAGGCGTGGACGTCGACGTTGTCGGTGAGGTTGAGGGCATTACTGGTGGCGCTCTGTTACCATTTTCCGAGTCGCAGGCGCTGGCATTAGCAGGAGATTCAGAGTTCTTCATTTCGCGCTTTTGTTTACGCGAGTTGGGCAGGCTCGCCATGTTCTATAGTAGAACAACACAAACAGTATCAGAAATCAAGCACACGGGGTGAGGTGAGAAGCAGAACGCGACAGGGAAGTTAAAAAGATGTATATATTTACAACAAAGAGCTAGGCCTTCAGTATTCAGCAGCCACCAGTTTTTGAATTTGCGCCTCCTCTTGAGTTCGAATTACTACATTAGAAAAATTTGAAGTGTCTCTCAGAAAAGGTCAAATAAAGTAACAACCTTAATAAGTTTTAACAAAAATATTGTATGCAACTTAGTTCCTATACAACTACTTTTATGGCATCGACTTCCAAAACGCTGTTGATTCTCTAATTCACAGATATATGACCGCTTCAATTAATATGGAAGGTTGGAACAGAGACAAATAATTAATCTGAAATTCAGATGAAATTGCGCAATGTTATTTTTGAGATGTTATATTTGGCTACGATAAGCGGTAAAATATCCATAGTTGGAAAAGCCTCATATGCATAAGTAGTTTATGATAAACTCCTTAGTATTCCACAGAAACAGAAATAAGTTCAAGTTAAAGTGGACTATAAATTGTGCCTTGGAGCATATTGTAGCGGTAAATAATTCCCCAAAGTTATTGACCGTAGGAATCATCAGTGAACATTGGATGCTGACCCTTAGTGTTTAAGTCGACTTGTTTAGCTGAAGGCTTCCGGTCAAGCATCCTCGCCATTTGGTACTCCGTCGTGTCACTTTCGTGCACGATCACTAACCAGCTTAGCTTCCGCTTCAGTCCACGATTTGGTTCCGAAATATATGTCGTAGTTTGGAAGATCAGCTCTGGTCTTTTGCTTTGCCTTTGGTACACAAGAAACGAATACTATAGAAGTTGCTGTTATGAGATTTTATTTCATTTAATTTTTGATTACAGCTTGATTCCACTCTGTATTTTTGGTACAAGTATAGAATTTTCAGCATGGATATCGGTAGGCCAAATTTCGCAGGCCGACCATAGATATCATGTGTGCGTCGGCAGGGGATGGAACCTCGGATCATGTGCATGGTTGGTGAGAGTCCTAACCAATGTACCACCGACGCACAGATCTTGTGTTAGTATACTCCGTACAATTCGCGAACGTCAATACCGTCAGCCTCTAAACTGATGAGCCCAACCGCGAGCTTCATCTTCGATAAATACGCAGATAACCCCGGTGAGTTCGTTCCGTTTTGTATTTGTTTTTGTACTGTATTGAAATCGGTATACGTTTCGTCATGAGTGATAATAGTCCCAAGGTCACCCGTATTCGCTCAACTGCAAAAACCATTCAGCTCGTACCATACTGGACAGATAATGATGAAGCATGGTTTCAGATCGCTGAGTCTGGTTTTTAGGAGCATGGGGTAACCGATCAACGTTCACAGTTCCTCGCACTTATTCACGCCCCACCACGGGAATTCAACAAGTGTGTAACTGTACAGATGTCGAGTCCTGAGGTAAGTAACTCGTACGAATTGCTCAAAGCATCCCCCATCAAGAGAGAAGTTCTCACGGATCGACAACGTCTGGACGAATTATTTCGTAACATCGAGTTAGGGGATCAGTCAGCCGTAAGCATGCTAACAAGAATGAGAGAAGTTATTGGCCAACGTCAGTTCGATGAAGGACTTTCCAGAGAACTCTTCTTATCCAAGCTGCCACAGTCCATGCAGACTGTACTTGTGACACTTCAGGGTGTTCTTATGGATGACTTAGTTATTTCTACAGATAAAATTCTAGAAATAACCAAACGGTCAGTTCCTGAAATATGCTCGGTGGCCAAACAGAGTTCGAGTAAGGATACTGCAGTGGTAGAGTCATGCAACTCCATCCAGCAGATGATTAGGCCAAACTTGCCTTGTAATTCCTCTTACCGTCGTCCAGAACCCCTCAACGGCGAAACTCACGTGGTCGATCTAAGTCCAAGCCACGTTCTCTGAAAAGCCCTGACTGGTGCTGGTACCACACCTATGGCCAAGAAGCGAAATATTGCCGTAAGCTTTGTAACTTTGGAAATGTCTCAAAGTCTGTGGGAAACTATCCCACCGGCCCGCGTTAGCGGCAGCCGTCTCCGGTAGCACAAGCCGCCTACTTTGCAACCATTATGTGATCAGCCAGACTCGATATTTAGTCGACGCAGGCGCCGAAGTCAGCGTCCTTCCTGCTACAGCAGCAGATCGACAGAAGCAACCTACCCTCAACCTACAGGCTGCAAATGGAGAACCAATCGCAACTTTTGGTAGGAAATACGTCTATCTGAACGTAGGTTTGCGCAAACCTATTCAGTGGATTTTCCTTCTCGCTGACGTCACAATGCCCATCATTGGCACGGATCTGCTTAATCATCATGATTTACTCGTAGACGTCCGCCGAAAACTACTGATTGACAATACTACTAGTCTGTCTATCAAAGACATCACCTACGCAGGCCCCAGCTGGTCACCCGTTAAGATACAGGCAACTTTTCAACCGATTGTTGATAAATATTCGAAACTTAATTGCCCGTCTAATGACCTACCGTGCATAACCAGCAATGTTATGCACCACATCATAACCTCAGGACAGCCCGTGACATCTAAAGCACGACGACTTGCTCCAGACAAACTGAGAATCGCTAGGAATGAGTTCAACCATATGCTCACTCTTGGCATCATTCGACCATCGAATAGCCCATGGGCATCCCCACTGCATATGGTACCGAAAAAAGACAGCAACAATTGGCAACCCACTAGTGATCATCGGTGGATGAATACCAGAACAACCCCTGATTGCTATCCATTGCCTCACATACACTACTTGACGACAACATTATCTGGCGCAACTATATTCTCAAAAATCGACTTGGTTAAAGCGTATGACCAAATCCCGATGGCTACAAAAGATATTCCGAAAACGGCTATCATTACTCCTGTCGAACTTTTCGAATTTCTACGTATGCCATTCGGTCTCCGGGATGCAGCCCGGACATTCCAACGCTTCATCGACGAAATATTACGCGGTCTCGACTTTGTATACGCATACTTAGACGACTGCCTCACTGCCAGTCCAGACAAGGAAACTCACCTTAGACACTTGGACCTGGCATTTGAAAGGTTACGCCAGCGTCGTATTACCATCAGTATTCGAAAGTGTCAGATAGGCGTTGACTCACTCGACTTCCTGGGTCACACTATTGACTACGATGGCACTCGCCCACTGGCTACTAAAGTCGAGGTGATACTGAACTTTCCAGAGCCACAGACTGTGAAAAGTCTCCGCACTTTTAACGACTTGGTAAGATATTACCAGCGGTTCATTCCCAACTGTGATTCTGTCAGCCACGTCTCGTAAACCGTTAATGCCCAGCTCTTGCTACGCTGGTCCTCACGCTGTTCCTTGAAGTTTCTCAGAAACGCTTTGTAATAACGGACGCAAAAACCAAAACACCGATTGGCCACTCGAGGATTCTTTATTGTAACACCAACATTTTAAAAAAGTTACAACTAAGGTCTGTGAACAAATATTACAATAATAAATCACAATATTACTTCTGACGGTTTTCTCCTGACTTCTTTCTGAACAGCGACCGATGAGACGAAGACTGATGTATTGATGCCTCCGCGAAAATTGGGGAAGTTGGTTTTGAGCAAACAACCATGAATTGATCGTTCAATCTTCAACTACATTGACAGCCTCTCTGATTCAGCCATTGACAGACCTTCGAGGGAATAACAAGTCTATTGAACTTGACGCGTCTGCTCGAAATACTCAGGTTAAAAAAGTTATGACGGGTGGCACGCTTCTAACGTGATGTACTTGCCAGTAACTGGTGATGCATATCGAGAATCAGTAGAAGTTAGAATTTATAACTGACTATCGAGTTCTCTAAAGATCTGAAAGCCCAACAGGCTCGCTTCGTAGCCTGAAGATTTTCGGTAAGATTCCCAGTGGGTTCATGGATGCATAGTACTGAAGCGCTGAAAACTAAGACGAGAAAGCTACCCATTACCCGCCAATGTCCAGATCTAACTACGCTGGACTTCACACTGTCCTTGGAGGACTTTCAGGAACTATGCTCAATAAACAACGCAAAAAAACCAGAACACAAATTGGTGACTAAGGAACGCGTAGTCGGTTTCGGTGTCGCGTCCACTCATCTGACCGAGCTGCGACAACATTCATGATGTTATCACGTTTGCCAATGATCAATACTTCTACGCACTTACTGTGCCCTACCCTACAATCTCTGTCAGCCATATGTAACCTAATCTCAAGAGATTGTAAGCAGTTGGTCAATTAGTTACACGTTACTTAAGTATCACAACGTCAAGTACTATTTACAGCTTCCTACCCAATTAATGCTTCGCTAGACTTTGATAATTTGGGGGAGGTTTCTGTTGGCATCGTCATTCAAATAAACAAAACGTTTCGGATGATGTCTATGGATTTTCCTTCCCACATGCTTTACTCATAGCTTCTAGGAGGTATTCCCAATGGAAAATAGGGTTTCAGTGGCATATCTCAATTACACTTGGTCCTGTGCTTTCAATTTCAACTGGCATTATGACAGACCACAAGGTTGCATTTTCTCTCCAATCAACGTCCTTCAAACCTTTCGCTTTCCGCTCTTACTTGACGGTCTGCCTGTTGTCACTCGACAGTTTCCTCAGTCTGTTTCCACCTAATTTCCTTCTCCATATCTGTTGGTTCATAGGTCTTCGGTTGGTTCTCTACTTGTTAAAGTTTCTTGTTGTCTATTCTTTTTGGCCGGCCAACTAAAGTTCATCATCCAATTAGCTAAGGCAGGTGTTGATAAGAGTCCGTAGCAGCACATGGAAAGGTTGCACAGACCAAATACAAGCACTGATGTGACATTGGTGTTGGAAATTCGAATTATGTTCTTACTGCGAATTATGTCCTGTAGATGTTCTTATTGACATTATAGTAATGGTAATTTATCACGCTTGCCCGATTCGCCCCAGGATGGCTTTGACATTCTCGTCCGTGGCGTTTGCCTGTAGCTGGAACGAAGCTATCAGTTCAGGCAAGTGAAAGAGACAACTTCATTTATATTTCTCCCATTCATGGCGATTAGTTGTTGTTGGTCAGGTATTTTTATCACCTTTGTCTTCTCAATGTTCACCTGTATTTCTGTTTTCTTTGACTCTTCCGCCGAATCCTTGATCGTTGTTCAGGAATCTTCAAGTGTGTACAACATGAAAAATAAGTTATCAGATCTCCTAGTATATTTTTGTCCGTCCAGCGTATATGCGTCTTCTAATACCCTACTCTTGGTTTACCGCATCAATAAGTCCATGACAGCAGTTAAGTTCATTATTGATGGTGGTCTGGTCCTACTCTTCTCTCTAATTCAACTTGATGAGATTTCCACTGTGAATTACTTGGCATGAAATACCATACAGCTGTTGAATGCAATTTATAAAGGTCTGGGCACTTGGCAGCTTTGAAGCAGTTGCAAGATTACCTCTCGAAGGTAGACTTAGAGCGAATCGAACCGAGTTGGAAGACAAAGTGGATACATTCCGAAATGGAATTTAAAGGGAAGACCACAGAATGAATGAGCACTGCCGAATGCAAATTAAGATGCTTTTACACTAGAAGCGCTTAGTAAAAACCAGTCATAGTAACTTTTTCAAAAGAGAAGAAGCAGCAGTTTTCCTATTTTACGCACATTGTCCACAACAATTTCCGAAAGAGTGCCACTTAGAAATCCTTTTTCAATTTGAAATGAGAAGAAAAATCATACAAATAAAATTTTATAAAATGAATTTCAAATATGGAGACAGTTTACAGTCTTACAGTGTGAAGATGGAAAGGATTGTGAACAAAGTTGTATAAACTGCGTCAATGTACTACGCATTTTAATGCGTGTTTTTTGTCATTAAAATACATTAGTGAATTAAAATGGCCAGTGTTAATTTTAGATAACCTCGCCTAGTTTACTAGCCGGCCCAAGTACGGGCAAAGAGGGAGGGTTGGTCGTGAGGCTAGCGACCCTACCCGACAAAACAATCCAAACTGCTGCAGAAACTTTAATGCACAAGAAAAATATTAAAAATACAAAAAAATATAAAAAAACAGACTCTTCACTGGAATCGGAAAGGCAAAATGATGCAAATTGGTGAAAGCCTTTAGGGAGCTAGTCAGCCAATGTGTCTTCTCTTGATGAACCCGGCTGATAACTGCTACCTTGTCGTGGTGGTCGGGCTTGAATTCCGTAATGACCCAACATGCTAAACCGACTTGGACTCTGTCCCTGCAGGTCCTATCATGTCAGGAAGGTTGTTTAGATAGCGGTTAGACTAAAATCAGTCACTATGGAGTACATGGGCTCCAGAATCCAATCGGATCAAATGGCGTATGAACCTATATGGGTCACCGGCAACCATGGGAATGCAGCTCCGCTGCCTTGCGGATTAGACTCCAAGTCAAAGGCTTGGGGGTGGTCCCTTAATAAAAGCACCTGCTTCGGTCTGGAGAATTGTCCACTATCTCAGCCCTCACACAATAGATTGAATGAAGCAAAAAACAATCAGTGAAACTTATTGCGTGCTATTACACCTGTTGCAATTTCCCTCTTTCTTCCCTTCCCGATGATAGTTAACGAATACTGTTTGAACTTATTAAGCATGACTGTTTTCCTTCCAGATGAAGTTCTTTATCCATTCTCTACTTATATATATATTCTCTTCTTTCTTTTTTTCTTTTGATCTATTTTGTTTTATTATTATTGTGTGGCGCATCCTTCTTCGTGCCATATTGTACCAAGTTTTTATGCGTTTAAATAAATAAATAAATCTCTTGATGAAAGCAAGAATAAAAATGGAGACTTAAAATGTTCGTACAATTTACGAAGTTTGGAAAGCTACCCATGTTTCCGAAGAAATGAGAATATATGGTAAAGAAGTGCTAGGAATCTGAGAGAGCAAATAGGATGGATCAGAACTGTCGAATTTGTCTACTTCAGAGTCAGTAATTTACTCTGGTCACGAGCACACACGATCGAAGAGGAACTCGCAGTCATCGAAAAGAAACCTATCGACAATGGATACCCTTAGAAGTTCATATCAAAACATGATAAGGAAAACCCACCTAGACTGAAACCCAATATGGTTGAAAAGAAACCAGTTTTTATTTGTCTAGCGGGTAAAGGTGAAGTATCCATACAAACGGAAAACAGAATTAAAGGTGCATTAAAAAGAACATTTCCCTCAGCTAGACCCATTCTAATTTACAAAACCTTATGCTCGGTTACCCAGTCAAAAGTAGACAAGTATTCTGCTCTGCACATAAACTCCAACTGCATTTACCAATTCACCTGCACTTGCGGTAGCAAGTACATACGAAGGACTGTGAGGAGAGCGCATTCTAGATTCTCTGAGCAAATCCCCAAAAGTCTCCGTTTTCAAGGCAAGCGTAATCGCCAAACACCTAATTGGCATGACACATACAGTGTAAATTAGTCAGGCTTTCAAAATAATCAATATACAAAGAAAAGCATGGTTACCTCTGTTCGCAGAAGCCACTGCCATTAAAAGACTTCAATCCAACCTATGCACACAGAAAGATAGGGTGACTAATCTCTCATTACCCAGGTAGCCGTAATTGTTTTGTTCTGTTGCGTAACATTTCACTCAATCTTGATTTTGATTTTCACTCACTGAGTTGAACACACTATTTTAAATCTACTAAATTAAATTATCTACTTTACAATTTTATTTCACTATTCACCCCCACTTTCCTAAATTTTCCACAATATATATATATATATTTGTTGTTCTGTCTTGTAATCTGTCTCTTGTCCATTTATGTTAGCGATTGTGTTTTTAAACTCAGTTGTAATTATCCAGCGTCAGATCAGAAACACATAAAAAGCAAAAGTAACAGCTTGATATCTAGAATGAGATGCACATTTCGGGAATGCTAATACCAAATGAAGACAAAAGCTTTAATAACCAGGAATTGTGTATGATAAACTTAGCGTAAAACAAGTGTCTCAAGTTACAGGTGTACTCAACCGATTGTCTTGAGCTTAGCAAGTCCGTTAGAATGGTGAAGATCAGTTATCAGAAGGAAATACTGATATTAATATGGACTAATGATTTCACGCGTTTACCGCTAAATATGCACTGAAACTGACAGATTTTTAATGATCGATCCTGAATTAGACAAATACAATCTCTGTAATCTTTCATATTCCTTTCTACCATTACCCATTCTGTTTCACTCCTATATTTGTCAAACTCTATTAATTCTCTCCACTCATCTTCTTGTCTACCTCTGTGTGCTATTTGGAACGTGGCAACTCGAACTGCTGCACTTCGGTTCCAAGTTCTATGTTGAATCCAGACAGACAGACAGACAGAAAACAAAAGAATAAATGCTGATAAGGGAAAATTTTGAGAAAGTAGGAGAGTGAATACATATGCTTCATTGTGAATGATTTAAGTTAAATTTCCAAGATTGTGTAATCGTAAACTTGAATATTTACAGTAAAAAAATGTTTCGAACTTAAATGATTTATCTTGGGAGAAGTTCATTTCTATCATAGTACTATTCACGTGTCGGTGGCATAGCGGTCAGGACGCTCGGCAACCATGCACATGGTCCGGGGTTCGATCACCGGCCGACGCACCCCTTTGCCTTGCTAAGCCAGTAGTGCGACTGGTAAAGGGGAAAGGCTGGGCATGAGGCTACCAACCCCATCCTGTAAAAATTAACACTGCTATAGAAACTTCAAGCCCCTAGCTTGGAGCCCTATATTCCACTGGGAACGTGAAGGGAAAGAAAGTATTATTCTGTTCTGCTTATTTTCATTTCGTATTTGTCTTTTTTTGAACTATAGCTATTGCAACTGAATTAGAAGTTCTACGTTAATTTCCTAGTGAGCATCTACAGTAATTTATCACTTATATTTTTTCTAAAAATTAAATGTTTATCACTTAATCAAATGACTATAATGCTATGAAATAGAAGTATACTGAAAATCAGTCCGTCCGCGTAATTAATTCGTATGTGATACAGATAAAAAACCACTCACGTGTTTGCAAGCTTCTTATGAATACCGGATATTCTAATAATCCTGAAGCATATTTACGATGAACAGTCGAAACATTATTATTTTTCTTTCAACGACCTTATTTGAACACTAAGTCCATTACTGAACGACCAACAAATATAACATGACATGAGCGACGTATTTTGTTACAACATATTATCGACACCTTTACAATAATGAGTGTAGTTATCAAGTTAAAGAAGCAGGTTTTCGGAAAACGAAGACAAAAACTGTCTCATCTCGTCTGTGTCAACAATTCTTGTAGAAAGCAAGCGAAACATACTGAATTGTACGAGTGATATGTTTATTTTTATATCAATCATAATGAGGTAATATAGTTAAAATTAACTGAGACAACATTATGAAGCAGAGTAAATGGCAGCTTTCAGATTGATATGAAATGTAAGAAGGAAAATAAGTGGGAATACCAAAACACTTGGTTAACCACCATGTAGACAATAACTGTATAAATTGGTTTTTCTTTAAAAAAAAAACCTAAATACTGTATCAGTATTTATGATATGGCAAGTATAATATTTGAATTAACCTCGTATTTCTATAATTCTCTGGATGAATCAATATTCACACCGGTTGCTTCATGTTGTGGGAACCAAGTTTAGTTGATGTGAACGGGAACATCTCTGAGGAAATCCGTCGGAATTCCTAAACAGTATTAAAAACAATGAAGAAGGTGATTAGCTTAGAAGGGACAATTATCAGCTACTTATTTCATAGTTGTCTTGTTCTTTATAATACCATTCAGTTAGACAATCAGCTATTTACTGCAATGTCTTAAATTGTATTTTATTTCATATCATTGTGTTAAACCACTACGACTAGTGACTGTTATATCGAATGTCTAGATTGTAAGCAGTAATGACAAAGTCAAAACATTTCTAATTCATAATAATTAAATTTTTCGATGCAGTGATAATTCATTACACTATTATGCAAAACTTCTTCGAGCTTTCGGACAAAAACATTGAGGGATAAGTAGGTATCAGGCAGACACGGCTTAGGTGAACATTGAAGTCAAAAAAGAGACTAAAATGGATGCTTCTTTGAAGTTTGCAAACTTCGAATGAAGCGCATCTTTGAGAAACTGTAAGTTAATTTTTTAGTCAACCAATCAATCGACTGACGAGTCAGCCATGAAATAATTTCCTGAATGCAGATTTGAACCCTGTTTTTAAATTACCTATCGAAACTCTTAAGACTATAAGATACAAAACTGCTGACGGTGAATCAAGCATAATAATAAGCCAGCGTAAGTATGAATGTACAATTTACAGAAGATGGTAAAGGTCAAAAGTGGCGTGGGATGAAAAAAATCCAGATACCGTAAATAAATTTGAAATATAAGCTTCGAATCAATGATTAGTTCCTACTCTAATGGTATTTTGGTAAAGTTAAACTTTAAGCACCAAAAACTGCCAATCAGCGAATGACCTCGAACACACTAATCAAGTGACCGAGGCATTTTTGTGCATGGAATTCATATATTTATGAAAAAAGTGCACAAAAACTGTATAAAAGTATTACAGAGGATACGTTCCTCTCACATGTGACAAAGATAGCTCTCAGTCTCAGGTATCAGGAGTATCAACAGAGTATAATTCAATTGTGGGTAAAATTTATTTTGATAGAGCCTCATAATGTTATGCAGTAATATTTACTAAGCAATAAATGGTGCCCGAACCGTCATCAGTAAATATTACTGTACAACACCCTGAGACTTTATCAAAATAAATTTTACAATGGAATTATACTTTACCACAGTGCACAAGTTCTATTCTTATATCAACAGAGTAATTTAACCACATTCTATGCAATGTAATTATTAAGGTCTTTCTAACCCTAACGTGAAAATAACCCTAAACTAACTGTAATCTACCTCGAATCAAACCTACTATCGCTTTTGTTAGGTTAACCTAACCTTAACTTAAAGGGTAATTTAATCTTTGCCAAACCTAAGCTGAAACTTCCGAGAAATCCCATTTAATAACATAACACTTCGATGAGGATATTTTATTGATGACATTATTTTGCCAGGTTTCACTAACTTGCCCAGTGCGCGTTTCAGGGCCATTGGTGAGGTCATTCTCCATTGACAGTTAGTGGTGCTTAAAGCTTAACTTAGCCGGTATTCTAGACAGATAGAGGAACTATTTTTTCAAATAAATCAAGAGGATTTTAAATTTTTCGAAGATTAACATAGAATTGATGTGGTGAAAAATGACCAATTAATGTGATGACATGACATAAACACATTCAAAATAAGAAGAAAAACAGCGAATCCCAGTAGGATTACCTTATTATGAGCATCTTTACTTCCTTTTGGTTCTGTCTTACCAAGCGTACTTCTACCGTAATCATTATTACATGGAACGGAATTAATGGCATTCATTGAGGATTCCAATGAAAGGTGACCAGGGTTTGATAACGGATTCTTATCCACCTGGGATTGCAATTGATCATTCATGATGGCTAGATTTTCTGCACGTCTTTGGTTCAATCTTTCGCGTAGATCAGCTAATTCTGCAGCGTATGCTGCTGCATCCATTTCGTCGACACGACAGTTTGCCTTAAAAGTGAAACGGATACGGCTTTAATTTAACAGTAATCCACTTAAGAGCGATAGCCATTAATGCAATCTATCTTCTTAAATAAAAAGTGTATCTTGTATTTATTTCGCCCAACTTCTTCCATGAGTTAACAGTTTTGTGAACTTCATACTTTATGAACGCAGAAAACACAGCTTTGTAAACTCACATAACAATTACGCCTACGTAAAAGTTCATCCTAATAGTAGCTATATAAAAAGAGTTGCGTATTTATAATATCTGCACAGTACTATTCAGTCCTGTTGGAGTATTAAATAAGATCGGCAAGTAAGTAACTCTATTTACTGGTAGCAATACAGTAAGATTGAATATTTTCAACATAAATGTACCATATGAAAGAAATGTGTATACGTTGAATTGTTATCCATTTCACATTGAAAATATAGGTTACAGTATGCTTGCGTACGTATATGTGCCAGACACTATGTGAGTATACAGTGATATAGGCAGTTAAAATGCCCAAAGGAAATAGTCACTATTTTAGGAATTATATCTTCAGTCAATATGACAAATCTTAAAAACTACAAGGATTTTCGTTTACTCTATGTTCCCTACTATTTTTTTCCTTCACGTTCACTCGCGGAAAGAATAATAATACCGATAATGATGATAAATATAATAAATAATAATAATAATTTTTCCTTCACGATCCCAGTGGAATATAGGGCTCCAAGCTAGAGGCTTGAAGTTTCTGTAGCAGTGTTAATTTTTACAGGATGGGGTTGGTAGCCTCATGCCCAACCTTTCCGCTTTACCAGTCCTACTACTTGTATAGCAAGGTAAAGGAGTTCGTCGGTGGGGAATCGAACTCCCGACCATGTCCATGGTCGAAGAGCGTCCTAACCTCTGTGCCACCGACGCGTACTATAATTATGCTAAATGACTTGAAAATATTCATTGCATCAAACGACTTTCAGTAATCAACGATTAAGGATTTCGTAACATCCATTCTTTCAATCAGGAAATGACTAATAGTTTCAGTAAAACAGCACACGATTTTCTGCATAGTTATGATACATGATGTTTAAGCAGATATATATTATCAGCTTACCAATCGTGTTAATTCCTGTTCTAATTTATTCAATTCACATTGGCGACGACGTATGTCAAGTTGTCTGAAGTGGCATCGTGATTCTTCTGCTAAACTTAATTCATGTAATTTCACTTCACGAATTAGTGCACTTAGTCTACAATACAATTTGCAATAATCAAAAACAAAATCTGCTTGGTATACGTAAACAGTTGGAGACGGTTGGTTGGCAATGAAATAAATTAAATTTACTGATCGTTTCATAAACTTTTAAAGTATGCACAAAAGATGTATCAGTTTAAATTGTAACACTTCATAAAAATGCAAAAAGTAAAATTGTGTTCCTTCTTTGGGATATTTCAAATTCTCTATACAGTTATGCTTTCTTCTGCTTATTTTTGTTGATTGTAGTTAGTTTCAACGATACGAAAAGTCAGCAAAACATTAATTGGAATATAAAGAATGAAATCTGACTTCATCTGGATTAAATTCGTACTTAGTGAACAGTGAACCTTTGATTTTAAACAGTTAACTGTTTCACACATGTGTTTTGAAACTACCCATTCTACTATTATTTGTTTAGGAATTTTTCCCATCTTATATTTTAATATTTGGAGTGAAGATAAGTAAGAAAAAGTAAAGCAGTTTGAATGAACCCTGTTATTGAGATGTAGTCAACATTATTATCGTGTGCAATATAAGATTTTTTTTCAACAACAGTTATTAATAAAAAAAAAATATGTGAATATTCGTCACAGGAGTATTTAATAAAATAAACCGAGATGCAACATTACTTTTTACGCTGTTCCCGAAGTTTATTCTCTTCCTGTGTTAGTAATGTTCTCCGTTGATCTTCAGCATCAAGAAGTAATTGTTGCTGGCGATACCTGGAGGAGAGAAATGAGCAAATAAATTGTATGTACTGAGATGATTATATATATATATTTTGAAAAAAGCGCAAATATTGATTAGGCCAGGTTATGAAGTAAACTAAATAAATTTCTTGTATTATCTACAGCACAGAAGATGCGTAACATTCTAATAAATTCTTGCCTAATGTCTAATATCACGGAGTAGAAATAATCATGTTCTATACTCGATCTTTAAGTTATTCATAATAATGTTTTATAAACTCTTTTTGATTACAGGTTATTGGTGCAAAACAGGATAATTAGTCACTCACCAGTTGCGTTCTTCATTTGCCATTAACTCAGCTCGCCGTTGTATATCTTCCACTGTAGCCCTGAATTAACAAGCAATAAATTAATTCTTGTTTAATCCTCAATTAAACATTTAGAAATAGAAAACAAGTAATTCAGTGAAGATAATTTTTTCAGCAAGTCCATTTACTACAGCTACGTAATCCCAATTATATACAATTTGTTTCCCTAATGTATCCAATACTTTTACACTTGAAAAACTAGTATCTGGTGAAATAAATTCTATGTTGTTTAGATTAGTGAATGTTAGTCAAAGCACAATGAAGGTGAATAATGATAATAAATGCTTAAAGAGTGAATTATTATAAAAATGGTCATTACAACATGAAAGAGATAACATTATGTACGAATTAAATTGGTTAAAAGTGGTAAAAAGGATTTTTTTATGAATATACAGATTTTCTCGTTAATAATTTTAATGTAAGTGGATTAAGGGCAAGAAAAGAACAGACGATTAACAAGTTTCTTTTGTATGCTACGTTATCCAACTTTTCTGTTTCGACGGCTGTAGTAAATGAATTCGCTGAAAAGAATCTCTTCGCTGAAACAATAAATTGGACAGGAAAATCGTAACTTTTCGTTAAATACAGGCATATGTGCATCTAGACATTTGTAAAAAATTATATTTTCTTTTTTCGAATTTTACAATATTTAGAAACATCACTATTAAGAGTATGTGTGAATAATTTACCTTACATACGTGTAGTCGTATCATTCTACTCATCCTTTCGTGTTTTCAACACAATTCATTTAAAGGAAGGCTTCTGACCGAAGCAGAGTATCATCTTTACCAAGAAATGAAATTCTGTATTTACGAATGTATTGTTTATGATAAGAGAACAAACTATTTATCATTCAAAAGGTTTTTAAAATTTAAAACACTAAAGAAAAGAGTAGTCAAAGGTATTCGAAAAGGGCAATTAAAACTGAAAAAACAACCCTTACTTTTGTCTAAGGTATTCTTTCTCTTCTTGTCGAATACGTTCCCGTTCTTGTATGTGATAATTTACAATGAACTTGGGATAACGAGTGATTATCGGATAATACGGAGCTGTTAGCGGTTGGAAAGTCAGAGAAACTTTATTTGCTTTTTTATCATTGTTATCCGGTTGAATGAGTGAAGATAAAAGCTTGTCTGGATGTATTTCTGAAGGGAGTGATGCAAGCAACTGATGAGCTCGTTCAACAATATCTGACACTGATAATGTGCTTTGACTGTGGTAGTATGCCTATCGATAATAGAACAAATAATTAAAATAAACAAGGCTGGTCCTAATGATAATTGCACAATGTCTATGAGCTTCACTAGGCTGTAAGAATGATGCCCTATGCAGCATACAAATTACAACTGCAATTGTAATAACAAAAGTAAATTAACAAAACTACCCGAACTTTATACCATATCATATAAATGGCTTTAACACTTAGGGGAATGATTTTAAAAAGATAGTTTTATGGTCACTTCTGTGGGTGATACAGCGTAGCTTTATAAAATAATTCATCCTTTTTAAAATGGAAAATGATTAAATGCTGTTGGTCCATGATAAATGAAAATGTACTTGTAAAAGCTAGGTTACGTAAATCAAGTTACGTCGAACAGACCACAGTATGCACAGCTAACACATATACCAATATAAAGGATAAAACGTCCATTTCATATATTGTTATGTACTCGTCGCTAAATTGTTATGTACTTGTCGCTAATTTATTGTTATGGACTGGTCGAGAATCTAATAGTCCTGACGCGAGAAGGCGGAAATCAGAAGACCACTAGGTTTGCGATGATACTTCTATTGTCCAAACACAAGGAGACGAAAATAAATGGTCTCACACCAAAGTGTTAAGTGAGTAAAGTAGTTGTAAAGTAAAGTAGTTCACACAAATTGTGAATGCGAATATATATAAATAATTCAGACAAGCGTGGGAAAAATCATTAGACAATCTTAACATGAATGGCTAATTATAATGGAGTATCGATCCAATTATACATAGCGAATATAGCAGACATGCCAACAAACATATATGGATATATGTCACCAAGCAACGGACTGTCAACAAACACTCATATTATATATAATATAATATAAGGAGAATACACATTATTAAAGGAGACAAGTCCATACAAGTGAAGTGGTCACAGACTAACCGAGCAAACAGAAAGAGAGACCAACATGCACACACACACATAAATATATATATGTGGATACATATCACCTCCCCTTTTGAGAAGATGAATGATTAGTAGGATGTTTACCTGGGGGTTTATCTGGGACCTTTGGGCTTGTTGTTGACGCCTGTCGTTTCGTCTGATTGTTGGGTTTGCGGCTTCGGCTCCGTCCGGAATGGACTAGCATTTTATGCTTCTTCACTGTATTGCGTAGAGAATTTAGTGGGACATCAGCCAGATGCAAACGATCGAACCAATCAAGTCCCAAAACATTTAAATCATTCTTCGTGACGTAACAAATTCCTGTGAATTTGGTATTGCGGAAAGAAACAGAACATTTGAGTTCGCCAACTAGTTTGAGCCGCCCACCACAGGCGCTGAGAAGAGACTGGGAAGTATTGGTGATAGGTGGTCTGCCAATATAATTCCAAAGTTTCTCTGATATAACAGTAATATCAGAGGCAGTATCTAGCTGCAGACGAGTATCATGACCATTCATCTGAAGGTCAATATATTTCCGCATAGCTGGTGTTGTGACTTGACAGGTTGCACGTAGACTCAGTGATCTTTTTGGAGATTTAGGACCGACATTTTGTTGAGCTTTCGCTGGATTATGATATCTGAGTTGGCGTGGCTGACAAAAACCATTTTTATGACCGATGATCTTGCACTTGCTGCAACGATGATTTTTGTATGGACAAGACTTTACAAAGTGCCACGCGCCACAATGCCAGCATGGTGATGGTGGGGTCTTCTTTGTCGTGTTTTGTGAAGTTGGGCGAGTATCTGTAGATTTCCGCGGGACATTAGAAGAAGGTGGGTCAGGAGTAGCTGATGGGAGATTTTTGCTCTTGCGTAATGCACGAATATCAGAGCTTCTCGGAGGTGTTGATTCGACCAGGTGTGTGTCTTTCTGCAGATTAATCAGCCGTTGATATTCATCAGCTATGTCATGTAATGTTAACTTGGGATTTTGTTCTAGCTGATTGAGCAGTCGAGTTCGGATATCTGTGAAACGAGGAGATTGAAGACTGCATATGAGAATCAAGGCTTTGAATTGATCATCTGTTAAGGACCTGAGTCGAAATCTCTCACATTCTCGGTTGACTGTGCCAACGTGAGTAAGAAAATCATCATTTTCATTCATTGCCAGCTTGAGGCAACGATAACGTATACTGAATAATGAGGAGTGGTCTCCGAAATGTTCACGCAGCAACTTTATTGTATCATCGAAACAATTGTCACGTGGTTTCTGTGGTAAAATTAGGTTGCAGTACCGTTCATATTCTGCCGGACCCAATTTACGTAGCAAAACTCGCACCTTCCAGGCATGGTCTTGTGAGGCGAGATCAACAGTGAATAAATCCTCATAACGTTGATACCATGTGTCAAAAGTGACATTAGCCTCTGGGTCATAATTGAACTGTGAAATACTGTTCACAATTCCGTCGACAGATGGTAGCATGGTATGGTTCGGATTGCTTGGAGGTGAAGCTGGACCAGTCTGTTGGTTGACGAACATTTCCATTAATTTCATTTGTCGTTCAAACAATAATTCCAATTTAGAAGGATCCATAGTAAATTGTTATGTTGCTGCTGCTGAGTGGTTTTTTTTTTTTTTCCCCGTCGCCAAATTGTTATGTACTCGTCGCTAAATTGTTATGTACTTGTCGCTAATTTATTGTTATGGACTGGTCGAGAATCTAATAGTCCTGACGCGAGAAGGCGGAAATCAGAAGACCACTAGGTTTGCGATGATACTTCTATTGTCCAAACACAAGGAGACGAAAATAAATGGTCTCACACCAAAGTGTTAAGTGAGTAAAGTAGTTGTAAAGTAAAGTAGTTCACACAAATTGTGAATGCGAATATATATAAATAATTCAGACAAGCGTGGGAAAAATCATTAGACAATCTTAACATGAATGGCTAATTATAATGGAGTGTCGATCCAATTATACATAGCGAATATAGCAGACATGCCAACAAACATATATGGATATATGTCACCAAGCAACGGACTGTCAACAAACACTCATATTATATATAATATAATATAAGGAGAATACACATTATTAAAGGAGACAAGTCCATACAAGTGAAGTGGTCACAGACTAACCGAGCAAACAGAAAGAGAGACCAACATGCACACACACACATAAATATATATATGTGGATACATATCACCTCCCCTTTTGAGAAGATGAATGATTAGTAGGATGTTTACCTGGGGGTTTATCTGGGACCTTTGGGCTTGTTGTTGACGCCTGTCGTTTCGTCTGATTGTTGGGTTTGCGGCTTCGGCTCCGTCCGGAATGGTCTAGCATTTTATGCTTCTTCACTGTATTGCGTAGAGAATTTAGTGGGACATCAGCCAGATGCAAACGATCGAACCAATCAAGTCCCAAAACATTTAAATCATTCTTCGTGACGTAACAAATTCCTGTGAATTTGGTATTGCGGAAAGAAACAGAACATTTGAGTTCGCCAACTAGTTTGAGCCGCCCACCACAGGCGCTGAGAAGAGACTGGGAAGTATTGGTGATAGGTGGTCTGCCAATATAATTCCAAAGTTTCTCTGATATAACAGTAATATCAGAGGCAGTATCTAGCTGCAGACGAGTATCATGACCATTCATCTGAAGGTCAATATATTTCCGCATAGCTGGTGTTGTGACTTGACAGGTTGCACGTAGACTCAGTGATCTTTTTGGAGATTTAGGACCGACATTTTGTTGAGCTTTCGCTGGATTATGATATCTGAGTTGGCGTGGCTGACAAAAACCATTTTTATGACCGATGATCTTGCACTTGCTGCAACGATGATTTTTGTATGGACAAGACTTTACAAAGTGCCACGCGCCACAATGCCAGCATGGTGATGGTGGGGTCTTCTTTGTCGTATTTTGTGAAGTTGGGCGAGTATCTGTAGATTTCCGCGGGACATTAGAAGAAGGTGGGTCAGGAGTAGCTGATGGGAGATTTTTGCTCTTGCGTAATGCACGAATATCAGAGCTTCTCGGAGGTGTTGATTCGACCAGGTGTGTGTCTTTCTGCAGATTAATCAGCCGTTGATATTCATCAGCTATGTCATGTAATGTTAACTTGGGATTTTGTTCTAGCTGATTGAGCAGTCGAGTTCGGATATCTGTGAAACGAGGAGATTGAAGACTGCATATGAGAATCAAGGCTTTGAATTGATCATCTGTTAAGGACCTGAGTCGAAATCTCTCACATTCTCGGTTGACTGTGCCAACGTGAGTAAGAAAATCATCATTTTCATTCATTGCCAGCTTGAGGCAACGATAACGTATACTGAATAATGAGGAGTGGTCTCCGAAATGTTCACGCAGCAACTTTATTGTATCATCGAAACAATTGTCACGTGGTTTCTGTGGTAAAATTAGGTTGCAGTACCGTTCATATTCTGCCGGACCCAATTTACGTAGCAAAACTCGCACCTTCCAGGCATGGTCTTGTGAGGCGAGATCAACAGTGAATAAATCCTCATAACGTTGATACCATGTGTCAAAAGTGACATTAGCCTCTGGGTCATAATTGAACTGTGAAATACTGTTCACAATTCCGTCGACAGATGGTAGCATGGTATGGTTCGGATTGCTTGGAGGTGAAGCTGGACCAGTCTGTTGGTTGACGAACATTTCCATTAATTTCATTTGTCGTTCAAACAATAATTCCAATTTAGAAGGATCCATAGTAAATTGTTATGTTGCTGCTGCTGAGTGGTTTTTTTTTTTTTTCCCCGTCGCCAAATTGTTATGTACTCGTCGCTAAATTGTTATGTACTTGTCGCTAATTTATTGTTATGGACTGGTCGAGAATCTAATAGTCCTGACGCGAGAAGGCGGAAATCAGAAGACCACTAGGTTTGCGATGATACTTCTATTGTCCAAACACAAGGAGACGAAAATAAATGGTCTCACACCAAAGTGTTAAGTGAGTAAAGTAGTTGTAAAGTAAAGTAGTTCACACAAATTGTGAATGCGAATATATATAAATAATTCAGACAAGCGTGGGAAAAATCATTAGACAATCTTAACA